TTAATGGTCATGAAGTACTTCACCAGTAAACTGAGGAAGCACAAAATGTATATTATATCTGCTCTTCAGCCAACTTGAGTTTTCTTGTTAAGTAATATCATCTGAGTACTTATGACAATCCTTTCAAATATCAATACATTGCTCAATAGTAAACTTCACTTTATCCATAACTGGCTTGGAGAACAGAGAAAGTTGAAAGAAAATCATTAGAAAATATTCTGATTTTGATAGCTTTCTCTTAGAAACAGGAATTGTATTCCAGGACTCCAGATAGATGCCTGAATCTGCTAGGAGTATGCTTAAAAGCTGAATGGCTCTTCTTGGCATTCTTGGACAGAAAGCATCATTACTCTTGGATTTCAGGACCACAGTTAAGTAAGATAAAAGTTTATTCCATGATTATCAATTTGATAACTGAGACAGATACTAAGTATCTAATAGGTGGTTAGCGTATTCAGAATGGAAGCAATGGATAAAGTATATATCCCAGGTCAGATGGGGCAAAATTGTGAAAATTGTATCATGCTATTCAAAAAAGCATACAATTTAAATCACATGAGTTGTTTTGTGTGGACATTCACTTAATATTTTTGGCTACAGGTTACTGTTGGTAATAAAATCACAGAATCAAACCATGGAGAAAGGGAGAATGTTGTATAGTTGAGTTGAACATTTAAAACTCGTTTTCTTATAAGATTTAATAAAACATACTACATATAGAGATCACTAGCTGGGTAAAACTTTGCGGTGAGGACATACTTCAGTGACAAAACCATCCTCTGTCAAACCTGACTAGAGGTTTTTTCAAAGAATCCACATGGTAGCCAGAGAGAAGTGACATCTACAGTTGTGTTCCAATGTCTATATGTATACCATGACATATGCACATGTGTGCATAAGCAGACAGACAGACAGATAGACACACAATGAAACAAATTAAATGCAGCTAGATCTGTGTTGTAGAAACACAGAGGATAGGAAATTGTCTAATCTTCATTTCCTCATCTCCAGACCCTTACCCAGATTTAATCAAGAGCTGTTTCTTGATTCAAACTCTTATTATCTTCACCCCAACATCTTCCATTTTACAACTACATATGTGATTGAGATAGTATTTAGAACATCATGGTCTCAAAGATCTTTGATCTCACTTAAGGAATATATTCATGACTAGAGGAACAACCTAAACCTTTAAATTATCTATAGTAACAAACCTCAGTCTATGATTTAGCACTCACCCCCCAGGCCTTCATTCAATATGACTTTTAGGCCACCAAATTCACTTCCAACCTAATCTACATTTCCCAGTATAGCACTCCACATGGCATGTTTATTAGCATGTTCATCAGCATGTGGCTTCACATAGGGACCTGTCTACATTGGCATACACTTAATCAAGTCTGCTATGTAGTTGAGCTTAATGAAGGGCATAAAAAGTACTAGTTACAAACCAGAAATCAGAAATAACTGTAAAGTCTTTACAATGACTACTCTCCATTCTAGCTCTTGCTTAGACTATAGCCATAAATTTTAAACCCAAATTTCCTTTATACTTAAAAAAACTGTCTATATTTTCATTTTAAAATCAATATGTTCAAAAGTTTTCCCGTTTACATCTTCTGATCTATTTTGACCTTGAAGAACTACATGGAATCATTTTTGGTTGTAAGCTACTATAAACTAAAGCACTTATGTAAGAAAGCATTTTAAAGAATCAGTATATTTTTAACTAAAAAATATAATTTATTTAGGTTTTCTACTCATGCACTTAATACTTGTGCCACCACGTATTCTGAGATGAACATCATCATACATTCAAAGATTAATTTTTATTTTATAAAAGAACTTGTCCTTATTTTTCATAAGAGTGGTTTATGTTTATAGCATCAGCATTCCTGTGGGAAAGAGACACACATAATCCTGGACCTAGTTGAGCAGCAGCTTAGCTGAATCAGTTCAACTCCAGCTTCCGTGCATTATCCTGTCAATAATGAGGATTTTGGTTTCTTAAAAAACCTAGTTATGGTATATGAATATGCTTTTGTTTTTAATACCAGGTATGGGATATGTGTCTGCTTCACACTGTCCACAGCTTCTCACTATGACTGTCTTATGCTCTAGGAGGGGCATGTTTTTTGTCAGGTGCAGAATTCCAGAAATCCTTGAGAGGATAATAGTGTGAGAGCCATGAGAAGGCCTGTCAAGGCTACTGCTGGTCTCTGATAATGAGTTTGCTATTGCTGGACTGATGGCTGGAGATGCCCTAACAAGGAGATTAGACTTGCCACAAGAAACTAGACACCCCAAGTAGTAATCTAAAGAGGTCTCTGCCTCCTGCCCCTTTAACCTTCTTTCTCTCCTACCTAGTGTTGGGTGGTTGTAAAGGATTGGGATAGAATGAGGGTTGGAGGGGGGTAAATAATTTAGAAGTCAATAAAGTAGCTCTAAAAATGGACACCTACATCTGTCTCAAAAAATAAAGCAGAAGGATGGAGAAATGGCTCAGAAGTTAAATGGCTACATTGATCTTTTAGAGGACCCATATTCTGTTTCAGGATCTATATCTGTGGTTCACAAACACCTGTAATTGAGCATCAGGAGCTATGCTACCTTTTTCTACTTCTAAACGCAGTAGAACTCAGGCACACACCTCAAACACAGACACTGTCCTAGTTAAAGTTTTTATTGCTATGATAAAACAATATAACCAAAAGCAAGTTGGGGGAAGAAAAGGTTTATTGACTTACATATCTAGAATGACAGTCCATTGTGGGAGGAGGGGGGAGTAAGGCCAAAAAAGAAATATTAACCATTCAGGAACCTAGAAACAGGAACTGATACAGAGAATATGAAGGAGTTCTGATTAATGAATTGCTCTTCTTACTCTGCACTTGCTCAACAAACCTTTTTCATAAACACTAGAAACACCAGCTGATGGATAGCCACTGGCAATTGATTGGACCCCTCAATCAATCACTAAGGAATTGTTCTACGAGTTTGATTGTTTATAGTTCATTCTTCTGAAGGCATTTTGTCAATTAAGATTTCTTCCTTGAAGAAAACTATAGCTTGTGTTGACACAAACATAGACAGTACAGCAACATACACAACATACACATAATTAAAAATATAAGTAGATAGAGAATGAAAAAGACAACACCAACCTCTGGACTAAATATACACACATATACATGCATCTGTGTGAACACATATACCCATGTATATACATTATACAGAAATTATCATATATACATACACAAAACAAGTCTTCCAAAAAGTTGGTATTCATTATTGTATTATATAGTAAATTGAATCAGAGATACTATTTATGTTTTTCTCTTTTGACATAACTTTATATGACAGGCTTTACTCTGAATATATTCATTTTCTAGAGAAAATAATATTCATAAACTTGCTCAGAATATTAAATAATACATAACAAATTATTTTAGGCAGAATAGGTCCTAAATTTCATTGTTATTACTTATGATTATTTTTTAAGATGCAGCCTACTCTTCCATAAAATAAGAATTTACAGTACTCATTCAATTCATATTTTATAAATCATAAATGAAAAAGTAGTAAATTTTGTTTTAAAAGAGAACAAATCATATCGATGCGAATACATAGATAAGTAGAGATGGATGATACATAGATAATTAATAAGAGATATGTAGATATACAGGTAGATACATGCATGCATAAATAAATGATATGGATGGTTGATATGCAGATAGAAAGATAGATAATAGATAAGACAGATATAAATAGCAACCACTTCCATGTCAAATCAACATATTCAGTTCTTATTCTGTCAGTAGAGAAATGAACAAGATAGAAGAGGAGGGATTTGTGCTGTTCATTGACCAACAGAAACAATTTGCACAAAGCTTCAAACCTGAAAACAGCTTCAGAAGAGCTGGGAAGCACATAATCAATTACAGTGTATACACACACGGCAAAGATAAAAAGAGACACAGTGCAGAAGGCAAAAAGGACAAGTTTTCTTACAGGACTTCTTCCTAATCCAAGGCAGAACTGTGGAGAAAGATGTCCTCTGTCTAAGAAAGGATAAAAAACTTTTGGAAAATAACCACACTTTGTTCTTGATGTAAACACCAAGCCTAGCCCAGAAAAGCTTTTCAAATTTGAGCTCAGTGCATGCCCTGTTTTCCAAGTTGGTATTAGTTGACAGAACATCCAAGCTTTAACATATGCCAAGTCAGCTCTAAAAGCCATAGACATAGACTTGATCTAGTACATGGCTTTAATCTCTAGTCACATTCTAGGTCCAGAATTATGTCTCATGCAAATCAAAACCAAATGGAACAGGAGGAGATACACTCAGAGTAGACAAAAGATGTTTAAGTAAGTATGTAAAGTGAAACAAAGGTGGTATACTGCAAGGGGCCAGTTTATTCAGAGACTGTAACACCTATGAATATATATGCACCTCAACAAGTGAAGCAAATAGTAACAGATCTGAATGGGGAGGGAGACCCTTATACTGCATGCACAAGAGAGACTTCAATACTACACTTCTGGCAATGCACAAATCAATCTACCACAGAAAGAAACCACTTACATGATTGAATAGTAAATGGATATGATATACATGCTAAGAACATCTTACCCGACAAAAACAAAGTACATACTCTTTCTTGCTTGCTAAGAAAACAAATACATTCAACAAACTTAAGGATGTTGAAACTGTATCAGGTAATATTTGTGACCAAAAATGGTATGAAACTACAATTAAGAAGAATTCTGCTTAAAACGGCTTCAAATATTATGCATGGCGTGCCCCAGTCTGTGATGCTCTACTGCTATTCACTGACATGAAAACAATGTTACAACGGTTAAATAACTGAAGCAATCTGTGGACTTAGATTTTTAAAACCTACTTTCAATAATGGTTTTCAAATGCTTTGACCCCACTTCTAACCCATCATCCTAAGGCAGAGGAGAAAAGCTGGTAAATAGAACAAGGAGACGTGGACCTGTTTAGTTCTTTGAGGCAATTCCAATCTCCATTTGTCAGGATACCAACAGTCCAGTTCAGTAGTGTCGAGATACCAAACACAAATCAGCAGTGGTGGATCAATCCAGCAGAAATAGCCAAGCCTCTGCAGAATTGGCACAAGTCAGCAGGAGCAACCAGAATCAGCTGGGTCACCAGCAGAAGTTCTCTGCCATGCCTTTGACAATGAAACAAAGATCTGTGAAGATGTGAGACCAACAAAGCTTTTCAAAGCTAGCTCTGCAAGCACATTGTTACTGTCTATTGAGTCCTATTTATATTCTTTCCAAATATCATGTGTCCTCCCACTGGTCTTGCCTTAGCAAAACACCATGGGAGGCTGCATCAGAAAAACATCACCTGAGTCTACATGACATGAAATATCTAGAAACTTCTACTTCAAATACCCAAAGTATTAATGGATACTTTCCTTGAATGTTGAGCCCCAGGTAGGAAAGCAATATTGCACAGGCTTTGAAATGACCTTACCTATTTACAGCAAGGAATGTTCTACCTGTTATCATGACTGGCACTTAAGAGGTCTATTATCACCTGGCCAGGTGATTTCACTATTTGACTTTAGGCAGGTCACTCAACTCAGTATGTATTTGGGGATAAAAGTAGTATGAATTCTATGGGGTATTTGAAAAGATTAAAATGTCTTAATATATGTAAAGTAAATTCCAAATAAAGAACAAATGACAAGGTACGAACATATGCAAACTCCCTGTAAATTTTCACTGTTCTCTCTAGAAGAAAATTTAAATAAGAGTATTTGGTTTGAAATATTTCCTTCCAATATTTTCTTAGTATGACAAATCATTCTATTCTTCAACTTTATTTGTTAAAGAAAAAGAAATGTTTCTTTTGTCTTATTGACTTCCAAACTGTTAATGTAGTGACTCTCAACCTGTGGGTTATGAACCCTTCAGGGTCGTATATCAGATATTCTGCATAGCAACTATTTATATTATAATTCATAACAGCAGCAGATTATAGTTATGAAGTAGAAGTAAAAATAATTTTGTGTTTGGGGTAACAACAACATGAGCAATTGTATTAAAGGGTCACAGCACTATGAATCAGAACTTACAATAATTATCTACAGGTCAAACCAGAAATAATATTAACACAAGTGCCCTGGGAATGCACTGCCTGTATTACCACAGAACTTTTAAGTTCTAGGTAAACCTTGTTCTAGGTAAAGATGTATGCTTTCAGGCAATTGTGAGCCTGATTTAGTATTTTAATGATGGAAATTAGACACATCTTATCTACATTTCAATTAACTATTGCTTTCCAGGAGGCTTTTGTAAACTAAAGTATTTAGCTCCTATATGACAAAGCATCTACTTGGAATTTCTTTGTGTTAAACTATAAAATCTTCAACTACTCAACTAAATATACAAAATCCAAACAGATGTTTGCAGAATGCTAACTAGTATTCCAATAATATTCACCTGTTATTGTTATTACATCTGTTAAGCACACAGTTCCTTTCAAGGGGAGTAAAATATTTAGAGATCCATTAATGTTTGGTATAATAGAGAAACTGACTAAAGTGGTGTGTGTGTGTGTGTGTGTGTGCCTGCATGTAAGCGTGTGCTCTGGTTTCAAAATCATAGACACATTATTATGTATCACTTTCTCTGAGATCAAATTCAGATCTGAATCTCAGAGAATATGAGCCAAGCTATATGAAATCATATGAAGCTGGTTCCAATGAGGAGCTGCAAAATTGAGATGTCATTTCTCAAAATAAATTTAAGTGATTTCTGCCACAAATGAGATATAAAAGTTGGCATGGCTAGACATATATTAATAGCATGTTATCCAGTTATCCATTCACTTGCGTCTATTTAATTTTAAAGCAACATTTTCTATGTATGTATGCAGGCAAGAATATTTCACTAACATTCAAGTGAAGTAAATTATATCATATTATGAGCAAACTTCTAAGGTAAGTCAATTTGAGTATGCTTATTTTAAGAACTTATTTTTACTGTTTGACCATGAATATGTATGTATATCTGTGTGGGGATACATGCAGGTGGATGCATTTGACTTTGGAGCCCAGAAGAGAACATCAGAAGCTCTGGAGACAGTTACAAGTGGTTTTGAGCAGACTAATCTGGGTGCTAAAAGTGAAAATCCACAGTCTTCAAGAGCAATACATGCTCTTAACTTCTGTGCCATCTCTCCAGACCCCAAATTTAAGGTTGTTTTATATAATAATTTTTTGAAGATAATTCAGTGCCCATAAAATATACCTATCAATTGCATAATTTAATATTTGGGACATTCACAGGTTGTTATAACCCTTATCATAGTGAGTTTTAGGATCTTTGACTCACTTAGAAAATAACATATGTCATGTATTTATCATCCCCAACCTAAGTTACACGATTAACCACTTGATGCTTAATGACCTGCCCAGCAGTTGTGTGATTTTATAGAACAACATTCTCTCATGTCTAGTTGTCCAATTTTTTGAAGAGCACACAACGGATAAGCCTAAATTATTTAAAATTATTAACAAATTATATAGTTGTGAAAATTATTTATACAATCAATAAGAAAGTATTTTATAATAAATGTATAATTTTCAAATATTTTATTTCATTCTATATATTTTCTTTATTTTCAGAATCTTATTTGTCTTTTGATGCAAAAAGTTGTTAATATTCATGTTCAATTTCTATCTTTAGATCATTTAATTATCATTTGCTGTATATGGATTCCTAAAAACTTAATTTCTATTGTATAATTTCCTGTTCTTATTTCAAACATATCAAACAAAATGTTCTTTAATCAAAATCTCCCCCTTTACTTTCTCTTATACCCTACCTCTCCCAGAATATCCCTCCCCTTTCCCAGGTACCCCTTTTACTCTGTGTGTGGGTGTGGTTGTAGATGTGGAAGTGCCCAAACTTACTGAAATTTCCTGCATGATCCTGAGTTATTCATACTTTTGCTATGGTGTCTTTAGAGACCCTTACAGTGACTGGATTTTCAGTTGATCAAATGCATATGTGTGATATTTACTTCCATTGTATAGGTGATTTCTTTGCTTTTTAAATTATTTACTTGACAATATAGAAGATTTTTCATTTGATGTACATCTATTTGCCTTTCATTTGTTTTTTTTTCCTGCCTGTAAATCTAGAGTCCTATTTCAGAATTCCATTTATTGAGTCCAGAAGAACTTCCCTGTTTCCTTCTAGTAGTTTTATTGTTCAAGGTGTTTTATTTTGTTATATATTTAAACCAATTTTGAATCAGTTTCTAATTGGTGGTTGATAGGTGTATGTTGGTGCAGGAGATATTTGAAAAATGGCAGCCTACATATACATTCTTTAATTTTTATTTTCTAAGTCTCTCTCTCTCTCTCTCTCTCTCTCTCTCTCTCTCTCTCTTTCCATATATGTGTGTGTATATATGTGTGTTATATATGTGTGTGTATATATGTGTATATATATATATATATATATATATATATATATATATATATATATATGTGTGTGTGAAAAATAGAATTTAAAATAAACTTTGCCAAGAAGTTTTCATTATGTATGTTAGAGGAGAGAGACATACACAAAATTGGCTTACATTCTAGAAATCAATGTTAATAAAAGAGTTTATGACAATCAAGTTTTAGAGAGTTGATAGTTTTGAATGAGTTCTCTGAGAAGGATGTTAAAAGAGGCCTGAACCCTCTGTAAGGATGACCCTCAACGCTACTATGGGGTAAGAATTCCAGGCCAAGAGACAGCAGATCTTCACGCTTTGGGACAGCACATGTATGCATAGTAATGACCAACGAATTCCTCACAATAACTGGCAGCAAAATGCGGAGAGTTCTTGTAAGTATTTCTAGGGTCAGATAGAGGTTGGTAAATGCATGCCAAGGCAGAAACCCCGGATTTGGATTTTATCTTGAAGATAAATCGCAAGGATTGGGGGATAAAAACAAAGACACTAGCTCTGATTCCTGTTCCCAAGGCTGACTCCGAGTTCCATGTGAAATCATTATGGCATGAGTGGAGGTCAAACTCTCACTCTTTCTTCATGATCCCTCATAAGAAATGGTGACTGTTAACCACTTGCATGGAGCAGTGAAAGGAATTCCAGATGCATCTGATCGATTAGTTAACTTAATTTCAACAAGGTGTTTGTTTGTTTGTTTGTTT